AAGGGGGTGAATATCAGAGTAAAAGCCATGTGATAAGCTTCAAATACCTTACTATAAAAGTTCTATCTATTTTTACAGACTGGATGAATCTGAAGCTTTTCTTTATTGGCTCAACAGCAAGTTTCTCTTTCTACTCTGACTTCCTGTGACAGCTCACACCTTTCTTATGATCTTGCCACTCACTCTCCTGTATTATAGGATGCAGTAGCATAGCTCTCATGAGCCATACTGACCAATAAATAAAACTGTTTGTTTTATGTAACATACCCACTGTGGTACTTCCCTAGCATAGACAGCTGCATAGTACTGAACCTTGGTCATTTTAGCCATAAAGATTTTGGTGGTGATGGGATGTAGATTAGGAAGAATGAGAAAACTTTTAAGTGCAATTGGAAAAAAGTAATCAACAGGCAATGAAACATTTCTATTGTGAATGTTACCATATTATTTAAGGAAAAAAATAACCTTAATGGGAGTTATAAATAACCCCCTGCTGTAGTCAAGGTGACTAACTCACGCAGTGTCATTCTTTGCAACTCAAAACCAAGGTAACATCTGTGACTGAAATTTTAGTGAGTGGGAAGAGGTAGTGTAAACAGAATAATTTGGATGATTGGGAAAGTTAGGTGGCTATTGGTTGAGGGACTAAGGAAAAAAAATGATTAAATTTCTACTCCCAGGCAACTACCACATATTGCTCTGTTTTGCCTTCTTCCTTCAAACATTTTTATTATTGGTTTGGGGAACTCTAGAATGACCAAGAAATCTCTACAGTAAAGATGGCAATTACTCTTATACCTGTATACCTCCTGTTATATGGTATTGGTGGGGTGTGCCTGGTTCCTTTAGAGGGGCCTCCCATAACAGAGAATTGACAGGACAACCATTCCCTACAATGTGTCCTGTGCTTAATACTGACCAAAAGATAAATGAATTATCAAAAATTATCAAGAGATAATGAATTACATAAGCAATGTTATATATTTGATGCTGTACTGTTTAATTAGAAAAATACTTAAAACTCAAATAGCCTTTATTATGTCTTAACTTAAAAAAATGTCTTAACTTGGGGCTGGAGATACAGTACAGCAGGTAAGGTGGTACATGCCTTACCCAGGTTTGATTCTCAGCATCCCATATGGTTCACCAAGCACCTCTTGGAGTAATTCCTGAGTGCAGAGCCAGGATAACCCCTGAGCATTGCTGGGTGTGACCCAAAAACTTTAAAAATAAATAAGCAAATGCCTTAGCTCATTTGATTCTGATTCCATTTGGCCTGGCTTTTTAAAGTTGAAAGGTTAGTGGTGGTTTGGGGGTTTGTTTTCTGTTTTTTCAGTGCCTTAATGTCTCTTTAATACATGCCTAGTTTCCTTATTTCTTTGTGTGTGTGTGTGTGTGTGTGTGTGTGTGTGTGTGTGTGTGTAAAGCGGACTTTATTTTAAAAGCGGTTTTAGGTTTGGGGCTGGAGTGATAGTACAGCGAGATACAGTGCAAGGTAGGGTACTTACCTTGCATGTGGCTGACCCAGGTTTCATCTGCAGCATCCAACATAGACCCTTGAGCATAGCCAAGGGGTGATCCCTGAGCTCAGAGACAGAAGTAACCCCTAAGCATTGACAGGTGTGGCCCCCAAACGAACAAAAAACTGCAGTTTTGGATTGAAAGCAAAATGGAGAGGGAATAAGTCGGTTCTCCCTCCCATGCAGAGCCTTCCCCCATTCTCACCATTTCCTATCACTGTAATCTATTTGTTACAGTCTGTGGACTTCCATTGATACATTGTCACCCAAGTCCATAGTTTAAATTTATGGTTCATTGTTGTATAACTTCTGAAATTTGTACAAACTCTAATGGCTTGTATCTGCGTGATAATATTTAGTAGTATAGTTTTCCATTTTTGTTTTGTTTTTTTTGTTTTGGGGGGTCACACCTGGCAATGCTCAGGGGTTACTCCTGGCTCTGCACTCAGGAATTATTCCTGGCATTGCTCAGAAGACCATATGGGATGCCGGGAATCAAACTCGGGTTGGCTGCATGAAAGGCAAATGCCCTTCCCATTGTACTATCACTCCAGCCCTTAATCGTATATAGTTTTATAAACCTAAAAATCCCTCTGTGCTCCACTTACTCATTTCCTACCCTTTACCACCCTCCCCCCCACCTCCCGCCCTTAACCCTGGATCTTTTTACTGTCTGTAGTTTTAACTTTTCTCCAATATAGTGTCCTTCATCACACAGCCTTATTTGTTTTCAAATAGCCCTCAGTAATATGCAGTTAAGTTCCCTCTGTGTCTTTTCATGTCTTGATGGCTCATTCATTTTAGCATTAATATTTCACAGAATTTACCACAGCTTAACTTTCTCATGCACCTACTTAACATTCTATTGCTTCCAAGTTTTATAGTTCTATGAATATAGATAGTTAGATCACACCTGGCAATACTCAGCACTTTCTTTCTGCTCTGTGCTCAGGAATCATTGCTGGCAGGGCACAGGGGAACTATATGCAGTGCTGGGGAATAAACTGGGGCCACCTTCATGCATGGCAAACACCTTACTTCCTGTTATTAACTCCAGCACTGAATATAGTTTCTATAAACAGGCATTTCAGGTCATTATGTGATTTACGTTTCCAGCTCCTTTGTGTAAATATTGAGCAGCATAATTTCTTTATTGTCTGGTAGGATTATGTTTAATCTTTTAGTAATCACCAGACTGTCTTCATGATGGCTGTGCTATTTTTGCATTTCCCTCTGTAATGAGCACATGTGTTGCTCCCTACCTTCACTGCCAGTTCTGGATGTCAGTGTTCTGGATTCTGTCTATTCCACTAGTATGTAATGGCGTCTTACTAATGTTTTGATTTGCCTTTCTCTGAAGACATATGACATGGTGCAACTTTTCCTTTATTTGTATATATCAGTTTGTCTTCCTTGATGAGGTATCTCTTAAAGTTTTGACCGATGTCATTCAGAATGGATGGCTTATAAACGATATGAATTTCTTTCTCATTCTTATGGTGACTAGAGGTCTAATATGGTGAAGACCTTCTTCTGGATTGCAAACTTCTACGTGGAACCTCACAATGGAATGGGAAGGGATCTCTGAGACCTTTTTTATGAATGCACTAATCCCACTCCTGCTGGGTTTGCCCTCTTGACCTAATCATCTTTCAAAGCTTCACCGCTTAGTACCATCATCACATTGGACGTAGAATTTAATAACTGAATGTGGGGGGCGGGAGGACACACAATATCTAGTTAGTTTTCTGAATAGTCAATAGGTGAAGGATAGTGATAACTATTCCTTTTAATTTGCATTTCTTTGTTACCATGATGTAGAATGTTCATATATTTGTTAATCATCTTTTTGAGTGATGTATCTCTTAAGGATTTTTGGCCTATTTTTTGTTTGTTTATTATGGTGTTTGGACCATATCCTGTGGGGCTCAGGGTTTACTACTGGTACTGTGCTTAGGGTCACTCCCAGCATAATCAGGGCACGAAATACCTGGGGTTCCCACATGCATAGCATGAGCTGTAGCCCTCTGAACCATCTTCCTGGACCCAGGCTGCTTTTTTAATTGAATTGTCTGAAACCTTGCTTTTGTAGTATTAGGAATTCTTTAGTGTTTTGGGTATCTTCTATAAAAGATAGATTTTTTTGCATGTGGATAATCATTTGATTATATTCATATTGGTTTGTTTCTGAGCACTCTCTTTTGTTCTATTGATGTATTTATATACCAAGATATGGTCATTCTACTTCCTATAGCTCTACTGTGATTTTTAAAGTTGTCCTTTTTTTTTTAACTTTCAAGTATACAACTTTTATTGATTATAATTGCCATACTGCTTACATTATTCAGAATAAAACTATCTAATTTAAAGTTAAGTCTTGAAGTCTGCGGTCCTAGTCTTCCAACCTTATTGTTCTCCTTCAGTTTGGTATTAGCTATTCAGGGACTTCTGCATCTTCTTAAACATGTCAGAATTTTGATTGACATTGCTTTGAATTTGTCAGTCAAACTGAGAAAAACTAGTATCTTGAAAATACTAAGTCTTCCTATCCATGAAAATGGAATATTGTTTTATTTACTTGTACATTTATTTTATCTTTTATTGTCATTAGGAGGACCTTTTTGCAATCATGTTCAAAGTACTTTGAACATATGAAAGTTCTAGCTTTCCTATCTTCTTGGATTGATTTGTTTCTGTAGTTATTTCTGCATATGTTTTCCTTCCCACTTTATTACCAATGCCAGATATGATTTCTGGTATTGCATAGAGGAATTGTTCCTAGAGGTAAATTAAGTCACCTGATCTGCACAGATTTTATCTATACAACTGCTTTCTCAAAAGTAGGCCATAAAGTACTACTTACACAAAGGAAATGTAAGAAATGTTATTGTATGATCTCTGCCTTCATTGAACTTACGAACCAGAATTAGGATCGGAGATAGGAGTCTACTAGTAGAGCACACACTTAGCTCATTGTAAGGACCTGAATACTATTACTGGCACAGCATTACCCCTAAATACTGACATGGGGGTCTCTTCACAGCTACTGGGAACAGCCCCTAGCACTGCACCAGAAGTAGCCCCAGAGCACTGTCAGATATGGCCTCAAACTAAAAACAGAACACACAAATTATATTCATTGTACAAACAGTGATGGTTCTGAAATTCAGGGGAGGAGTGTTTTACTCCGGTCAAATTATGGGAAACTATTGGGTTTAGAAAGTTGAACTTAGTCCTGCAATGTGAGTAAATCACTTTTTGACTGAGATTTTTTAAGATTTATTTAAAAAATAAAAGCTACATTTCCAGATTACTTGTGATTAAATTTTGCAGTGCCTCCGCCTTTCATTTTTTCTCTAGAAAATACCCTTATATAAACAATTTCTTTCATATGTTTCTATCCAGTATATTTATAATAAACACTTGAAAATATTGGACATTGGTTGTGTTCAGTTTTCTTTGTCTTTCTTTTTGTCACAGGCATCCTGATTTTCAGCTGCTTCAGGAAGGACAAAGGTATGGATGAATCAGTATCTCTTCCCTTCTATATATTCATGTCAATAGAAACATTAGAATAAACCAGGTGATGGGAGCTCTTGGGTTTGCTGTGCAGATGTATTATGTAAGTGTTCATTCTAGCCCACACAAAGAATTATTTGCCTTGTACAGCTTTTTCTTTTGTGTTGGTAAGATGGTGTGTTTGATCTGTATGATTTATGTACAGCTGTTCCTACCAAGGCAATCTAATTGAACTTGTTGAAATATGGCACAAACACAGCTTCCATTTGACATAATGTGTTTCTTTGTCAAGTGGATTTTGCCAATTACATTTGTTGAAAGGTTTTTTTTGTTTGTTTGGTTTGGTTTTTGTCTTTCTAGCCATACCCAGAGGTTTTTTACCTGTGTGCTCAAGGGTTGCTCCTGAAGGGGCCTAGGGGACCATAGGCAGTAATAGGGATCAAACCTGTGTGAGCTGTGTGCAAGGCCTGCACCCTACCTACTGTACTTTCTCTCTGGCCCCTATTGAAAGGTTTTTAGTCTTTCATAGGATTTAAAAATATTAGTGTATCAGTTTTTTTTTTTTTTAATTAACACTGTAGCACTGTCCTCCTGTTGTTCATCGATTTGCTCAACCGGACACCAGTAAAGTCTCCTTTGGGAGACTTGTTGTTACTATTTTTGGCATATTGAATAGGCCACGCTTGCCAGGCTGTCATGTGGGCGGGATACTCTCAGTAGTTTGCTGGGCTCTCCAAGAGGGACAGAGGAATCGAACCTGGGTTGGCTGTGTGCAAGGCAGATGCCCTACACACTGTGCTATCAGTCCAGAAATTCCAACTTGTGGTTTTTATCTAAAATCTCATGATTCTATTTGCCCAACCATGACAACCTCTCAAAATAGTTGCTTGTTTCCCAGAATTTATTTGCTCGTTTTTATTTACCACCTTAATTACATGGTCTTGAAAACAAGCAACAAAATGTTTATTGACAAGATTATCTTTAGTGTGTAGCTTCCAATTACGATAAACAAAAATGTACTTACCGTAAAATTCTCAGAGAAATATGAAATATATGAATGTTCAGTTTCCTAATTTGTGTGTTTGTGTGAAATAAATGAATGTTCAGTTTTCTAATTTGTGTGTGTGCGTGTGTGTGTGTATGTGTTTTGGGGCCACAACTGTTGTATTCAGAAAATCATGCAGAACCAGGGATCAAGTCTGAAGCTGCTACGGCATATAAAGCATGCACTCTAGCCTTTGGGCTATTTCCTCAGCACCTCAGTTTTCTGATTTTTTTTTAGTTATAATTATATTGGATGCAGACAGTCCTCTGACTATGTAGGCCAAATTCTAACTAAAAAAATTATATCTAATATTGAATAAACACTTTATTTTGAACTTTTTTTCTTCCTTTTTATAGTGCCCCTCCCTGCCAGTATGCAGTTCTTCTTTTTTGTTTTTCTTTTAAGTGTGTGTGGGGGGGAGGGGTGGTGGTCACACCCGGCAATGTTCAGGAATTACTCCTGGTGGTGCTCAGGGGACCATTTGGGTAAAAACCCTACCCGCTGTACTATCACTCCAGCCCACTGTTCTTTCTTCACTGTGCTACTTTATAGGTAGACATAGACACACACACACACACACACACACACACACACACACAAAATCGTTTTTTTTTGGGAGTAGGTTCAGGTTTACAGAGAGTTTCTGTTTATAAGAAATAGAGTTCTCATGTACCTTTCATGAGAAGAAGCTTCCTATTCTAGCCTTCTCTCTCATCCCAATCTTTCCTGGTTTGGGTATGGATATTTGCTTTAGAGGAAGTGCTCAACTATCCTTGATTTGTGCTCATATCTATATAGACATACCCACACTACTTCATTATGTTTGATCTTTTTTTTTGCTCTAGCCTGGAAATTGAAAGAACATAATGGAAGAAAAAACTGTTCATTTTTACTGCTGTAACTCAGGATGTTTTAAATGTAAATGTCTTTCATTGATAAATTTTGGTTTACCAACTGTACTTTCTGCTAAAACTGTATGTTTTTTTGCTATGAAACTTTCTGTATAACTATCAGAATTTGGAAATGTTGAAATATCTCTTTTATCTTTCAAAACCTGAACAGAGTTTCTGTAAAATTTATATATATATATATATATACATATATATATTTACTTATTTAAGAAGCCAGTAATGAGATTTTCAAAAGAAAATCTAAACCAGTTTTCCGACTGCAAAGTAGCCTCAAAAATATAACAGGTAAAAATCAAGATAATTTGAGGCTGGACTGTTTGCATCCAACATAATTATAATTTTAAAAAATTAGGGAAATTCAGGGGCTAGGGAAATAGCCCAAAGACTGGAGTGGATGTTTTACATACAGAAGTAGCTCCAGACTTGATCCCTGATTCGGTATGGTTCCCTGAATACAGCTATTGTGCCCCAATCAGAGCACCATGTGGTCTTCCAAGCACCACCAAGAGGAACCCCTGAATATTGCTGGGTGTCACCCAAAATATAACTAATAATAATAAATAGTAAAGTATTTCAGTAGATGCAATATTCAGAGTCGGTGTGGGTATGGGTGTGTGGTGTGTAAACCCCTCCTTGCCGTCCCCAGAGCAGACATATATGCCTGTAAACATATGCCTGTAAAAAGACTCCCTAGGGACCAAAATCTGTCTTGAAAGTTATGAAATACTATGGGACATTTTGCTTTTCTGTTACAGTTATTTTGCTTCTTTCCCTCTACAGTGGCCATTCAGGAGTAGAAGTTCAACTAAGCAGTAAAGCCATTGAAACCTCAGACATTGACAGTCCTGGCCATCTTGTGAAGCATGATGAACCCACTTCTCCCAGCACTCTTAGTGATAGTAGCAGTGATAATGAACAAGACTTTGTTTCCTCCATTCTTCCAGGAAACAGACCAAACGCAACGGATATAAGGCCACAGCTGCACCAAAAAGGCATAGTGAAAAAGAAAGCCAGTCATAAAGCTAACTCCAATCATGAAGACAGAGAAGGGACAGTGGATGATGTCACCAAACAGTTAGGCCATTGCAGATTAATACATGTGGAGAAAGCTGCGACTTGTGAACCTCCCTTACAGAAAGGAAGTACTCAAATTTCTACAAATCATCCTTTGCAGGAAAAATTAGAAGCTTCAAAAAATTCTGAAATTGAGTACAGTAGTTCAAAAATAACTCTAGTAGGCCTAAGCAAGAAAAGTGCCGAGCATTTTAAGAAGAAGTATGCCAAGTCAAGGTCAGCTCCTGATGCGGTACAGGTGTGTCCTGAAATTGCAAAGAAAAACATACTTAAAGTCCTGAAGGAAACTTTGATTGAGTGGAAGACAGAAGAAACATTGAGGTTTTTATATGGCCAAAAGTATGCTTCTTTTTGTCTGAAACCCTCTTCGGGCCCTCAGGCTAAAGAAGAAGAACTTGATGAGGATGACATAAAGTCTGACCCAGATAGTTATTCCTCTCCGGTGGGGGAATCTCAGAACAGTTTGGATGAGTCTTTACCATTTAAGGCCTCTAATACAGCCATTAAGCCACTGCCAAGTTATGAAAACTTGAAAAAAGAAACTGAAACATTAAATCTAAGGATCAGAGAGTTTTATAGGGGACAGTATGTTTTGAATGAAGAAACCACCAAATCACAAGACTCAGAAGAGGTATGTCTAAATGAAGACAAGTTTACCATGCTGCTGAAATATGGAATACTTACTAGTGCAGATATTAGAGCAGGAAGAAAAATAGTTCATTGTTGCTTTTTTTTTTCCTGTATCATGTGCTTATTTCTCTATTATTAGATTTATTTTGGACATTTAGCTCTTAGATTCCTGTTACAGTAAATGAAAGTTTAGCCATCTTTCACAATGAGCCCTACTTTTTATTTTATTTTTTTTTAGTGAGACACCATGAGGTACAGTTGTAGACTTAGAAATTTTGTGCTTGGGTTTCAGTTATATAATGATCAAATACCTATCCCTCCACCAGTTACCATTTCCCACTGCCATGGATCCCAGTATCCCTCCCACCCCCCCATTCCCCCCATCTCACCTTGCCTCTGTGGTAGGGCATTCCCCTTTGTTCTCTCTCTCCTTTTGGGTGTTGTGGTTTGCAAAAGAGTCAAGCCTGATTTTCAGGGAGAATTGTTGGATGATTTACTTTCCATCATTGTTGCATTTTTTAGGTTTCTTGAGTCATTAAATCTTCAGGTTTAAAACACCACCTCCAAGGTGCCAGGGTTGTAGCTCATTGGTAGAGAGCCCAAGAGAAAATTTAAAAGTAGTAAAATACAGTTTTCCGGTATGGGGCAGCATTATTTTCAAATAAGTTGTTATTTGTTCCCAGAAAATTTGCAAAAATGCGTAATTTTTCTCTAATGTAGAACTAGCTTAGGCCTGTGGGACATTTTCTTTAAAATTTGATTCTTCATATAACATAAAGACTTTCTGATGAGGTTTGGTATTTTTCTTTTTAATTATATATTATTTCACTTGTCTGTATGGAATATCTGAAATACCTGTGTGGGATATCTGAAATAATATATACTTAAAAAAAAGTTCTTTATCTTTTTTATTTTATTTCCAACAGAGTTGTTTGCAGTAGAAAGACTTACTAAGTTGAATACTAAAATATTTGTCTAATATTTGGTAAGCATTCTCACCTTAAAATAGAAGGAAAAATAAAATACAGAATAGTATAGGAGCATGTAAAAAAAATGAAAAACTTACTGGGGAACAATGAACATAAAAGAAAATGGAACACCTCAGGTAGACCTAAGTTTGAATGTTTGCTCTGCCATTTATTGACTTTCTGAGAAGTTAATCTCTTGAGTGATTACTCATTTGTGTTGCTTTCAATAGCTTCCCTTGCTTATTGTTAGGAATTTTTTGTTTTTGTTTTGTTTTGTTTTGGGGCCACACCCAGTGTTGCTCAGAGCTTACTCCTGACTCTGCACTCAGGGATCATTCCTGATGGTGCTGGGGGACTCTCGTATACTGGGGAGTGAACCTGGGTCGATTACCCGCAAGGCAAGCACCCTAACGCAGTACAACCTCTCCAGCCCCATGGAATTTTAAGGATAATGTATACAAAAGCATTTATTATGCTGACATGCTTGGTACATGATAAGTAGTACTTATGTATGCTACTGAGATTTAAGATAGAAGATGTAAATCTTTCAGTATTTCTATTAGCCATTGTAATTTGCCAAATGTTACCTAACCCGACACTATATTTTGAAGTCACTTCACCTGTCTTAAATCACTTACATGACTTATGTTAAGCTTGGAAAAAGACTGAACTCTCTCACTCTGCTGCTATAAACCTACTACAGTATTTTTTGTTTTGTTTTGTAGTTTTTGTGATTGTAAACTTTAAAGAGAAAAATTTAATCCCTGAAATTTCACTATTTTTACTGTTTTGCTTCATAACATTTCAAAACTTGTCATTGTAGTAAAATACATAGATGTACAGCCTTTGAATTATCACAACAAAAGTAAACAAGAAACCCTTCTTGTTCATTCCTAATCATTACCTCTTTTCAGAATTGATGGGTTTTTTTTAGAGGTGCTTCCCCAGGGGCATTTGGGGACCCAGAGGTCACCTGAGTGATACTCAGTTTGGACCTGACAGTTCAGTGCTTTAGCCTGGTGACGTGGTGGTGCTTGGGCCTACCATCAGGTGTGACCCTTGTGGGCTGGGGGAGGACACAAGGGACCAGGAATCAAATTTGGGGTCTTGGGCATGCAAAGCAAGTGTTCACCCCTTTGAGCTATCTCCCCAATCAAGATAATACTATGAATTGCATAGGTTAGCCTTACCATTTTCAACTATGTATAAGTAGATTCCCACTGTGTTCTTTGGTTCCAGTTCTTTGGTTTACTTCATCAGTCTTATGTTTACTTCATCAGCCTTATGTTTGTGAATTATTTGTGTTGCTCCATATGATAGTAGTTCTTTCATTGCTGTGTTTTCATTATATAAATATACGACTATTTATGTTGATGAACTTTTAAACTGTTTCCTGTTTCTATTACGAGATTCTCTTGGATCTTGAGTATCTTTTGGGATCTTTCTTGCTCTTTTTTTTTTTTTAATTAGTGAATCACCGTGAGGTACAGTTACAAACTTATGAACTTTCGTGTTTGCATACAATGATTGTTTACCCATCCCTCCACCAGTGCCCATTCTCCACCAATGTTCCCAGCATCCCTCCCACCACCCCCACCCCATGCCCCACCACCCCACTCCACCTTAGCAGCAGGGCATTCCCTTCTATTCTCTCTCCTTTTGGGTGTTGTGGTTTGCAATAGAGGTATTGAGCGGCCATCATGTTTGGTCTGTAGTCTACTCTTGGCTTGCATCTTCAACCTGAATGGGTCCTCCCAACATCTTTTACTTGGTATTCCCTTCTCTATCTGAGCCGCATTTTCCCCCAGCATGTGAGGCCGTTTTCCAAGCTGTGGAGCAAACCTCCTGGTCCTTATCTCTACTACTCTTGGGTCTTAGTCTCCCATTCTGTTACTTTGTCTTCCACAGATGAGTGTAATCTTTCTATGCCTGTCCCTCTCTTTCTGACTCATTTCACTTAGCATGATACTTTCCATGTTGATCCACTTACATACAAATTTCATGCTTTCATCTTTTCTAGGGCTGGAGCGATAGCACAACAGGTAGGGCATTTGCCTTGCACGCGGCTGATCTGGCTGACCCAAGTTCAAGTCTTCCACCCCTCTGGGAGAGCCCAGCAAGCTACAAAGAGTATCTCGCCCGCACGGCAAAGCCTGGCAAGCTACCTGTGACGCATTCGATATGCCAAATACAGTAACTACAAGTCTCACAATGGAGACGTTTCTGGGCTCACTCGAGCAAATTGATGAACAACGGGAGGACAGTGCTACAGTGCTGCATCTTTTCTAATAGCTGTGTAGTATTCCATTGTATAGATGTACCAAAGTTTCTTTAACCAGTCATCTGTTCTTGGATACTCGGGTTTTTTCCAGATTTTTATTGTAAACAGTGCAGCAATGAACATACAAGTGAAGATGTCATTTCTACTATACTTTTTTGCCTCTCCAGGATGTATTCCCAGGAGTGGTATTGCTGAGTCAAATGGGAGCTCAATTTCTAATTTTTTGACAATCGTCCATACTGTTTTCCAAAAGGGGTGAACTAGTCAGCATTCCCACCAGCAGTGTAGAGTCCCTTTCTCCCCACATCTGTGCCAACACCGGTTGCTTTTGTTTTTTGGACAGGGGCCAGTTTCTGTGGGGTGAGATGATGTTAGTTACACATAGCACTGTAGCACTGTCTTCCCATTGTTCATCGATTTTCTGGAGCAGGCACCAATAGCGTCTCCATTGTGAGAATTGTTACTGTTTTTTTGGGATGTCGAATACTCCATGGGTAGCTTGCCAGGCTATTCTGTGCAGGTGGAATACTTTTGGTAGCGTGCCAGGCTCTCCAAGAGGGTTGGAAGAATCGATCCTGGGTCAGCCACCTGCAAGGCAAACACCCTACCCGCTGTGCTATCGCTCCAGTCAGTTACGCATATTGCAGATATTATCTTGCACTCTAAGACTTGCCCTTTCACTCTCACTAAGGGTGTCTTAAGTCACTTTATTGTCTTTAGTGACGTCTTTAAGAAATCTTTGCTAAGTCATAGTTATTGAAACTTATAGATGTTATACTTTGCCCATTCACATTAAAATTAATCTGAGTTTTATTTTTGCTTACAGTGAAGACTATGGGTCATATTTCATTAAATTCTCTTTCACTGGGGAAATCGTGCACATTTGATAATAACGATTTAATTTTTGGTTTGGTTTTCTCAAAACTTTTAATCAAAATATCTTCCACTAGTTACAAAAAGAGTTAATGAAGTGGATCAAAGTCTCCCACCAAACTATAAGTTTATTAGCTCTCCTTTCAGTTTTTGTATATTTGTACATTTTGTGTATTTCAATACTTGATATGTTACAGGATGATATGTAAGATTATTATGGTAAATTGAACCTCCCTAGAGTAACATTTCTCTCTGGTGATTTTTGTTTGTTTCCTCACTGTCTACTTTTGCTGACACTAATATTTTTTTAGTCATATTTCAATAACTTTTGAGAATATTCTGAGTTTTTTTTCCACCTGTTGCCTTTGTTGTGGATATTCCTGTTGAATTGTCTGTGGTTACATACTTAGTTCTAATGCTCACTGGGAGTCACAAACATGTTACTGCTCTGGGGATTAAAACCAGAATGCTGGAGATTGCATTCACTGATATGGCCTTATGTGAGGTAGTCCAAGGGATCAAACACATAGCCTCATACATGCAGCGAAGCACACTACGACTGAGCCATATCCCTGGGCTCCCAAGAACTGCCTTTAATATTATTACTATTATCATTATATGGCCCTCCAAGCAGTACTATGGGGACCAAATGGTTATTTGTTCAGGCCTACCTGAGTGATGCTCAGGTTCAGTTGTGCTGGGGGTCCTAGATACACCCAGTAGTGTTCAGGAGACTATGCAGAACTGTAGATAGAACTCAGGCTCTTGAGCATGCTTCAGTTTCTATAAGAGCCTGGCTGTTTCCTGTTCATTCTAACTTCTAGATAACTTCTTCGTCTCTTCCAAAGTCTGAAGCTTGAAGAAGGGTTGCCAGTACCTCTTCTTGGCATACCCCAAACTAAAATACTGGGTAGAAAGACAGAGAGCAGGTTCTCAGTATCTAAATTGTATCTTCTAAGTGGCTCTGTTGCACAATGGATAGTGCATTGGACTTCTAAGTTGTATTTTCTTGAATTAGTCTGGAATTATCCTTTTCCAAATCTCAGGTTTTAACTGCATTTTTGGTCTCTGATGCTTTTGGACAAATGCAGTTTTATTCCAAGCTTTTTACATTCTTAGCAAATGTGATCATTTGAATTATTTCCACTGCTATATCTACAAATGGAATTCCCATAACATATTTTAAGTACTTACTAGTTGTAATCTCCTAATATAAATCTCTCTGGCATTTAGCACTTTGCAGAATTCTTTCATATATATTTTCTCATTCAGGAAGGTATGCATGACTGTTATGCAGATGAGGAAATAGAGGACAGGGTTTGATCCCCAGTAGTGCAAAAAAATAAAGATGATGACTCAAAAAGAAGTTCATGGGACAGAGCAATAGTATAGTGGGTAGGGAGCTTGCCTTACATGTGACCTACCTGGGTTTGGTACCTGGCCTCACATGTGGTTCCCCAGCCCTGCCACGAGTGATATCTAGGAGTAAGCCTGAGCCACTGCCAGGTGTGACTGACCCAAAAGCAAACAAAAGTTCACATCAGCCTAATGACTTTGTATTCAAATTTAAATTTTCTACTTCTCTTACCTGGTTTTTATTCTGCTGTGCCATAGGTGTAGTTTCATATTTGATACTTATTGTTCTTATCAAAGAAAAAATGTTAAATTTATGATTTTGTTCTGCTTTTTTAAATGTTATTCAGCATGATCCCACCTTTCCACTGATAGACTCAAGTTCTCAGAACCAGATTAGAAAACGCATTGTGCTTGAAAAATTAAGTAAAGTGTAAGTATATTTTATCATCTCACTTTTATTTATGAATTCATAATTTATAGAAGATGTAATTGAATTTTAAACTTTGAAAATGGTGTAAAAAGTTTAGTTGGACTTGTTCACCTGATAAATTTAGACTATTAAAATATTGTATCAAGAATTAGCTTTTGTTTCGTTTAGAAGGTACCAAGGCAGATCATAATAAAGAGAATTGGTGCAGGAGAAATAGGTAAGGTGCTTGCCTTGTGCACCACAGACCCAGGTTGTATCCCTCCATATGGTTGCCCAAACCCTGCTAGGAGTGATTCCTGAGCACAGAGCCAAGAGTAAGCCCTGAGCACTGGATGTGATCTAAAAATCAAATAGCAAGAAGAAGGGAAAAAAAGGGTAAGTGTGTGAGAGTAGAAAATGAAAATACAAAGATTTATTTGCTTAAAAAAAAGGATTTATTTGCTTCATAAAAAGATTTATTTGCTTCAAAAGAAAAAAAAGAAAAAAAGAAAGAAAGAAAAGAAAATGAAACTACTTCATTCCACTTAGTAATTCAGTGAAAACAGGGGAAAAAGATTAAAGCTAGACCCATTTAAATAATGATTTATGGCAAATGTGTCACATTCGTTTCACATGTGAATTAGATTTTGCAAAGTTTTAATGGTCTAATAACTAAGTTTGCATACATATTCGTACAGAGCAACTTGAGTTTTTGTTCAGTTCAACTTTGCACTTCAGTTTTAGCATTCTTGGTTGAAAATGATTGTTCCCTGGGTAGAAATAATTGGCCCAATTTTACCAACATTTAAAATTGGCAGTCCTGGTTTCTCTTCCCAAAAAAGCCTAAAAGGGTTTCATACTTGTCAACTATGTGCTTTGTCACTGAGCTACAGTGCTCAAATACATGTATTTAGAGATGCATAAGAAAATACTTAGGGGTCAAGGGACATGATATCAGGGATTTACTTTTTTTTTTTTAATGTAGGAGTACTGCTATTTATTCAGCCACTGATTAGGCTGATTGAATTGTGCATGAACTCCACCTTACTTTTTTTTTTCTTTTTTAATTTTATTAATTGAATCACTGTGAGAGCAATTACAAAGCTTTCGGGTTTAAGTCTCAGTCATACAGTGAAAAACCCGTACCTTCACCAGTGTCCATTCTCCACTACCAAAAACCCCAGTATACTCCCATCCCACACCCTCCCCCTACCTGTGAGGCAGATGATTTCCACACTACTCTCTCTCTACTTTGATTACATTCAATATTTGGACACCAGACCCACCAATATTATTTGGGATTTTACCCCAACACTCAGATCTGCCAAAAAGGCAACAGTAGACAGTTTGTTTTCTATTGCTGGTTATGAATAACATCATGTCACATTGGCTGCAGTAGTGGCCATGCAATTTTGAAATTTCAAAATGTGGACACTTAAATCTGGAGGGATTTCTGCCAAAATCTGCTGAGTTCCGAGATTTGTTTCTGCGTCTCTGGGATCATGCCCGTTAAGCAGCTTGATCAGGAGCCAGAGAGGCCACTCATGGGTGGGGACTCAGATTCATTGGGGCGGGGAGGAAAGGGCTGGCTCCACCTCCATCCCGTGAGGCCCCATGTGTCTCGTCACTGTGGGCCCAAACCTGACTGTTCATTGGCCTCTGGAGGATGGCAGCCACCGAGCCGCCTAGGGTGAGCAGGCAGAGGGACAGCACCCTTTCCCCCCTGGGGTGTCCCGGCAACAGTAACCTACTGTGGGTTCTGGACGCATTTTTGCCAAAAGCCACTGGGTTCTGAGATTTGTTTCTGAGTCTCTGGGATCATGGCCATTAATCAGCTTGATCAGGAGCCAGAGAGGTTGTTCATGGGTGGTGACTTGGGGTGTCGTTGGGGCAGGGAAGAAAGGGCCAGCTCCACCCCCATCCCGTGAAGCCCCGTGTGTCTCGTCACTTCGGGCCCATCCGTCATTGTCCAGTGGCCTCTAGAGGATGGCGGCCACTGGGCCGCCAGGGGGAACAGGCCAATGCACGAAACCTATTTCCACCTGGGGTGGCCCAGTGCCGGTAACCTACTGCAGGGACCGGACACATTTCTGCCAAAAGTCACTGGGTTTCGAAATTTGTGTCTGAGTCTCTGGGATCATGGCCATTAAGCGGCTTGATCAGGAACCAGAGAGGTCATTCATGGGCAGCGACTCGGGGTCTCTTTGGGGTGGAGGGAAAGGGCCGGCTCCACCCCCATCCTGTGAGCCCCGCGTGTCTTGTCACTGCAGACCCAAAACTGTCCAGTGGCCTCTGGAAGATGGCAGCCACTGAGCCGCCTAGGTGGAGCAGGTGGAGGGACAGCACCCTTTCCCCCCTGGGGTGGCCCAGCGACAGTAACCTACTGCAGGATCCAGATGCATTTCTGGGGTTTCAAGATTTGTTTCTGAGTCTCTGGGATCATGGCCATTAAGCAGCTTGACCAGGAGCCAGAGATCTTGGGCAGCGACTCGGGGTCTCATTGGGACAGGGAGGAAAGGGCCGGCTCCACCCCAATCGTATCAGAGATTTACTTTAAAATATTTCTTTAAAACAAGAAGAAAGAAAAAAATATGCAGGTGTAACAAAATATTGGTAGTTAGCTCTGGGAAGAGATGGAATTATTGTTATCAACTTTGGAACTTTTCATTAAAATAAAATTTGTGGGTAGCACTGCACTGTAGCACTGTCCTCCCATTGTTCATTGATTTGCTCGAGCAGGCACCAATAACGTCTCCATAGTGAGACTGTTTTTACTGTTTTTGGCATATCATATATGTCATGAATAGCTTGTGAGGCTTTGCCATGCGGACGAAATACTCTTGGTAGCTTGCCTGGCTCTCCGAGAGGGGTGGAGGAATTGAACCCGGGTCTGCTTCGTGCAAGGCAAATGCCCTATCCACTATGCTATCACTCTGACCCAGGTTCAATTCTTCCACCTCTCTCAGAAAGCCCAGCAAGCTACCGAGAGTATTTTACCCTCATGGCACAGCCTGGTAAGCTACCTGTGACATACGTGATGTGCCAAAAACAGTAACAACAGTCTCACAATGGAGACATTACTGGTGCCCACTCAAGCAAATCAATGAACAACAGGAGGACAGTGCTAAAATTTGTGGGTAGGGGGGATATTCAGTGATGATGAGGGCTACTCCTAGCTCTGTGTTCAGAGATCATGCCTGGCGGGGCTCAGAGGACCATATATGGTGCCAGGGGTCAAACACAGTTTAGCTGCATGTAAGGCAAGCTCCTTGCCGACTTTACTATCTCTCCACTTCTCCCTAGCTCCCTAAAATAACTTTTAAGTGAACTTAAAACTTTATTTAAAAAAATTTTTGTGGTCATACCTGGCAGTGCTCGGGGGTTACTCCTACCTCTGCACTCAGGAATCACTTTGGTGGTGCTCAGGAAACTGTAAGGAATGCTGGGATCGAACCTGGGTTGGCCACATGCAAGGCAAAGGCCCTACCCACTGTGCTATCTGTCCAGCCCCTTAGGTTAACTTCTGAACTGGAACAGTACCTCAGAGGTACTCAAAGGATTCAGTACATGCAAAAGACCCAGGTTCTGTTCCCATTACCAGATGTTCCTCTGTGCCATCTCCTTAAGCAACTGCCACACGCAGAGCTGGGAGTATCCCCTGAGCACTGCTGGGTATTGCCCTGAAACAATATTCAGGCTGGAGGATAATACAGGTGTTAAGGTACTTGCCTTCCATGTGGCCAGTACCACTTGTATTTCCAACACCACATATGGTCCCCCAAGCACCACTAGTATATACCCTCTCCCGTGTATCACTGTATCACTGTAATCCCGTTCATCAGTTTACTCGAGTTGGTGCCAGTAGCGTCTCTATTTGTCCCAGCCCTGAGATTTTAGCAGCCACTCCTTACTCGTCTTTCCCAACGATTGGAGGCTCTTTAAGGGTCAGGGGAATGAGACCTGTTATAGTTACTAGTTTTGGCATATTGACTACACCATGGGGAGCTTGCCAGGCTCTGCTCGTGTGGATGGGATACTCTTGGTAGATTGCCGGCCTCTCTGAGAGGCATATACATACATACATACATATATACATATATATATGTATGTACACACACATATATATACGCATATATATATTTCTCTGATTTGATGCATACTGTCTAAACTCCATCAAACATGGTATGGTAATTATGGAAAATGGGTAGGAAGTGTTTTATGATGTGTCAGAAAGCAGCCTGGAGCATGGCGGTGGTTGGGTAGTGGAGGTCAGCTGCCGGGACTGGGTCCCTTGGGGCGGGGAGGGCTCTTGCCTGCCCTCATCTGGGGTGCCCCTAGTGAAAACAACCTGGCGCGGAGTGCCACCCCCTCCCCTAGTCCCCCACAAAAATGTAATACATTCTAGGACCAGGAGATGTGGCTCAATAATAAAGTGCATGCCTTGCATGTATTCAGTCCTTGGTACCACAAAAGAAAATTAAATTAAAAGTAATATATCCTATTGTAAAGATTTAGGCAGTACAACACGTTATAAAGAGAAAGACTATGTGGTAAATCCCATTATATTGGTATATCTTAATTTAACCAATCACCTACAATAGACATTTGTTTCCAGTTTTTTGTTACTAGAAATATTTCTGCCACATGCACTTTTATGATTATCTGATTATTTCTAAATTATTGGGTCAAAGAACATTCACATTCAAAATGTTATATATGAGGCTGGAGAGCTAGCACAGCGGGTAGGGCGTTTGCCTTGCACGCGGCTCACCTGAGTTCGATTCCCAGCTCCCATATGGTCTCCTGAGTACCGCCAAGAGTAACTCCTGAGTGCAGAGCCAGGAGTAACCTCTGTGCATCGCCAGGTGTGACCCAAAAAGCAAAAAAAAAAAAAAGTTATATATTACCAAATTGCTTTTTTCAAAATGTACCAACTTTTATTCTCACCTTGAATACTTAATAAGAATATCCAGAGTCCAGATTGGACCATGTGAAAGGAAATTCATATTCATTTTCCTGTGTTCTTTCTATTTACCTAATATTTGAAAATAAAGAGGTGAAAAATAAAACTAAAGAACAAGAGATGGCAGACATAAAGGACCTTTTTTGTCCTTCGGTGCCTCATATTATAGTAGAAACTGCATAGTAGCATGTGGGATTATTATGAAGACTTCTCATCAACCTTTACCATAGCGTCATTATTGTCTGTGGAAAATGTACTCTTAGGCAAGATCCAAATCATGTATTTGTGTTACTAAGTTATATTGTTAAAGAAATTTTTAATTTTCAGATTGCCTGGACTTTGCGGGCCTCTTCAGATATCACCAGGAGATATTTATACACAACTTAAAGATCTTGTTCGAACATTCAGGTTAGTGTTAATATTATTTTTCCTTCAGTTAATTTGTCTTTATGTAAAGATTGCCTTGCAGAATGCATAGGTAGGACAATGATGAAAAAAGTCAGTGACTTACCTCCATTAATAATGTTCTATTTTCTCCTTTACCAGACAACTTTATTCTGTTTTTGTTAAATGCAGCTACTTCTGGAACCTGGGGGATAGTGCCCTATTGTTGACAGATGGGAGCTAAGTGAGATATTTTATAGTTGGTCCTGACAGTGGAAAAGAGTTCATGTAAATAACCACATCCTTCTCTTGGGAATGCAGATCAATAATAGGAACTTGTAGAAGAGAAGTTTCTCAACCCAGTTTTGCCTCAGAATTGCCTGGGAAACCTTTAACAAGCTCTTACGCCCGGTCTCACTCTGAGAGATTGAGTTTCATTTGATCAGTGCTTATATTAATGTGTTTGGGAAGCTCCTCAGATGACTCATAATATGCAGTCTGCAGTTAGTCTGTAAGACCTGAAACATTACGTCGTCCTGGGGCCAGAGAGGTATAGCAGTGGGGTACTTGTCTTGCACACCGCCAACCCAAGTTCAGTCCCCAGCATTCCATATCACACCAAGCACCACCATGAGTGATTCCTGAGTACAGAGCCAGAAGTAAGCCCTGAGCACCATCAGGGTGTGGTCCAAAAGCCAAAAGAGAAAGAAAAGAAACAAACGTTAGGTGGTCTCTTCAGTTCTGTGAGGAATCATTCTCCAGTGAATGGAACTGTCCTTTCCACTGAATTCCATCAGTCATTTATCCAGAATGTTACGTTGATTTGCTTGCCATGAGATTCTGTCACAAGTTGCTTTGTAATGACTCACTGATATCAGTGATGAATTCTTATTTTTCCTAACATGATTTGCGTTAAAATCATCTTTTGACAACAAAGTTATTTTAGACTAGTGATGAATCAAGATTATAGATCTTATAAATCTGCATTAAATTTCAAATTCCATTTTGGAATTGTGTTTGTTTCAGTGTTTTGTATAAAATATTACCATTTTTATTTTTTAAATTATCACTCAGACTAATCATGTAACATCTGTGCTTGCAATTGATTGAGACCAGCAACAGGAGAGGTTTCCTCAAGCCCACCAGAAGTGATCCCCCTGGGGTCGAAGCGATAGTGCAGTGAGTAGGGCATTTGCCTTTCACATGGCTGACCTAGTTCAATCACTGGCATCTGATCTCGCCCCCCCAAGCACTGCCAAGAGTAATTACTGAGCTCTGAGCCATAAGTAACTCCTGAGCATTGCTGGATGTGGCCTAAAACTGTAGCACTGTCCTCTTGTTCATCTATTTGCTCGAGCAGGCCCAGTAACGTCTCCATTGTGAAACTTGTTGTAAGTGTGTTTGGCATATCGAATATGTCACGAGTAGCTTGCTAGGCTTTGCCGTGCAGGCGAGATACTCTCGGTAGCTTGCCGAACTCTCCAAGAGGGATAGAGGAATCGAACCCAGGTTGACCAGGTGCAAAGCAAACGCCCTACCCGCTGTGCTACTGCTCCAACCCTCCTATCGCTCCAGCCCTCATGACCTAAAACAAACAAACAAATAGATGTGATCCATGAGCTCAGAGGCAGGAGTAAGCCCTGAACACAGCTGGGTATGGCCCAACAACAAATAAAAAATTTAAAAAGCAAAACTACAGAAACACAAGAACAAATGAAATTTTGCTCTTCTGTCCCTGGGAAGTACTTTTTTAAGTTATTTTTTATTTTTTATTAGTGAGTCACCGTGAGGTACAGTTATAGACTTACAAACTTTTGTGCTTGCATTTCAGTCATACAATGGTTGAGTACCCATCCCTCCACGAGTGCCCATTTTCCACCACCAATGGTCCCAACATCCCTCCCACCACCACCACCCTGTCCCCTCCACCCCACCCCGCCGCTGTGGCAGGGCATTCCCTTTTGCTCTCTCTCTCCTTTTTGGTGTTGTGGTTTGCCGTAGAGATATTAAGTGGCCATCTTGTTTGGTCTATAGTCTTTCAGCCTGCATCTCCCATCCCGAGTGGGCCCACCTAGCACCCTTTACTTGGTGGTCCCTTCTCTATCTGAGCTGCTTTTTCAACCCCAACATGCGAGGCCAGCTTCTAAACTGTGGAGTAATCCTCCTAGTACTTATCTCTACTGGTCTTGGGTGTTAGTCTCTATGGGAAGTACTTTGAAGGGAAAGCAAATGCCTTGTCATGTTTGTGCCCTGGCTGACAGTAGCAGCATGTCAACACTTAGTGCCTTTTTTTTTCTTCCTGAATGGTTACATGAATTTATCAACTCTACAGTTGTCATCAAACACTTGCTTGCAGTTTACTGGACTACACTCTTTACTGTGGCCCCAGGATCCCAAGCAACAGAGCTCACACACAGGCATGTAGAATGGAACTCATGATCAAACTTGCAGCCTCAAGCTTGCAATGCAGGTGCTGTACCATTGAGCCATCTCAGGGCCCCAAAGTCATGATTTTTCAGTAGACTTACTGGAAGGGCTAGGAATGGCTCAGTGGCAAAGCACCTGCCTTGCAAGTGTGGGGTTCAGAGTTTGAGCCCCAATACCACACCACATGCACTAAGCAGAACCAGTCCAGCAGTACTGCCATTTGGTCCCCACACCACAACTCAAGTGTGTGTGAACATTACGACTTTAAAGTGCACACCCAACCCCCCCCCACACACACACACAAGCACTGCAACTAAAAAGGGCATCTGCACCCACAACTGGAGGATGCTATCACAGTGAGTATGTCCAGTGACCTGTGTTCATCGCAGCATCTATGACAAAGGGAAAGGGAATAAATGTAAACAGTAGACGAATAAGGGAAGACCTTGAGAAGAGGCTACTTATTTAAAGATGTTAGAGGCACTGGTGAGGGAGCAAGCCTTGTTGCTGTCTGTGGGAATAATACTGGACAGAGACTAGCGGATGCTACAACTCTGAAGCAGGAGCAGGTCTGGTTATTTAGAGAGCATTGAGTATGCTGGAGAGGCTGGAGAAATGAGCAGTGGCAAAGGGAGACAGGGCCAGAGAAGCAGAGTAGGGAATGGGTGTGGAATCGCTGCGGGTCAGCCCACTGCCGTGCTCACTGTTTGCCTTTACTCTCAGATGAGGAGAAACTGGAATTGGATGAAAAGGAGTAACATGATACGTTTTTGATAAATTACGTTAGTTTGGTTTACAACATTGTGTATTTTTAGGAGTGAAGTTTCATATTCCATCAAATGTCTTTTGCCACACCACATCCACACCCAAGGCACCAGCCTCCTTTCACTACTTTCACTGGACTTCCTCTACCTTTCCTTCCCGCCCCTCATGCTCTCTGGTAATCTCAGTTCTTCAGTCAAAACCCGAGTTTGTTTTGGTTCAGTTTTGCATGTACTTTGCCTTCTTTGAATATTTCACGTAAAGTTAAGTCATCGAGTATTTATGTTTCTCCTTTTGACTTACTTTGCTTAGTATCATTCTTCATTTCTTTTTAATTATTCATTCTCCATTTCTGTGCATGTTTTTATAAGTAGCATTATGTCATCTTTAATATAGCCGAATAGTATTCCATTGTGTATAAATACCATATCTTCTTTATCCAGTGATCCATCATTTGTCACTTGTATTGTTTTCATATCTTGATTATTCGAAATAGAGCTGTAGTGCACATAAGTGTGCATAGATCTTCTGGGATTGTTGTTTTTGTGTTCTTTAGAGTGAAACCTAAGAGGTAGGATAAGTAACACAGACATTTTATTTAAGCAGTGTCCCACTAACTGTATGTTAGAAGGAGATAAGTGTTGTTCCAGAGTGTCATATATGCTTAAGCAGGGTAAGGGAGTCAGAAGTTTGGGGCTAGGAGATATAAGAAATGTCACATTTCACAGGTGGTTGAAACAGGCCTTATTGCAAAGAATATATAAAGAAACCTAGCCGAGAAAGACAGTTTCAGACATATAGAATAAACAGTACGAGAGCTCCATGGATCTAACATCACCTTTGTTCTCTTATTTTCCAGTTCATTTTCCTTTTCAGTCCATTGTCCTTTATTCCCTAGAGAATACTAACATGAATACATGTGTCTTTTCAGTTTCAATACTTTTGCCATATGTGCACATACTCTAAACAATATTGACTATTGGTTTGATATGTTACTTGATTTCTTTCATTCAAATTGTAATTAGCAAAATAGTTAGGTCATTCATTTTATTTTACTTTATTTTAATGGTTTTTGTGACACCAGGTGGTGCTCCTGGCTCTGCTCTCAGGGATCACTCCTAGTGGGGCTCAGGGTCCATATGAAGTGCCAGGGATCGAACTTGGGGCAGCTATGTGCAAGATAAGCTCTGTTATGCTATTGATCCTTTTTTGATTAAAATATAACAAAAATACTACTCTTTGACATAAGGCATAAGACTTGTTTTATCTAATACTAGAAAACATATGTATTTAAATGCTAATAACCCTTTGGTAAATTTTATCTTAATGTCTTTCAGATTAACAAATAGAAATATTATACACAAACCTGCAGAGTGGACATTAATTGCTGTGGTGTTGTTGTCACTGTAAGTGTTCTTCCAGATTTTAACTCTGAATCTCAAATGTGAAAATTTTTGATTAGGGAAAAGCAAAGTATTCATTGATTATTTAATTTCTTTGGTAAATGTACCTCTATTCTGTGCTTATTTTTCTTTCCTAGATGAGAAAGTAACTTTTAGGTAAAGTGATAGGCCTTATTTTGATAAGTTGTAATTATTTTTTTCTTTTTTCTTTTTTTTAAACCATCTTGTCTTCAGTAGGTCATTTTCTTAAATAATATTCATTGGGACCAGAGTGAAAGTACAGAAGTTAAGGCACATGGCTTGCATGCAACTGACTCTAGCTTGATCCCTGGCATTGCATGTGGTTCCCTGAGCACTGCCAGGAGTGATACCTGAGTAACTAAGCACTGCTGGGTGTGGCCCCCAAAACTAAATCAAAACAAAACAAATGTTATCTTTCAAAAAAGACTTTTAAACACTACATTTTATTAAACTTGACTAGGTCTCATTTTTTTAGTATTGTATGTTTGCTAATATATCTAATGTCATTTTGTTTTCCTTTATCATTAATGTAGCACTATAGCACTGTCCTCTCATTGTTCATCAATTTGCTCGAGCAGGCACCAGTAACATCTCCATTGTGAGACTTGTTGTTACTGTTTTTGGCATATAGAATACTCCATGGGGACCTTGCCAGGCTCTGCCATGCGGGTGGGATACTCTCAGTAGCTTGCTGGGCTCTCCAAGAGGGACAGAGGAATCAAACCCTGGTCGACCGTGTTTGTTTTCCAAAATAATGTACATCTTTAAAATCAAACCAGTTTAATGTAGATACTGCACAAGCAAGTATAGAACATTTTATAAAACTCTTATTAAATGATACCATTTAATAAGTGTAATTGCGAAAGTTGTCTTGTGAGAACCATTTATTACTGCATTATTGTTGGTACTTGGTGCTTTTTAGGTCATTGAAACCCATAGTACATTGAATACTTATTTACACTCACAGGTCAAGAAGTGTTATGAGCCAGTCTGATATCATCTCCAGACCTGTCTTCTCTCTCTCATTGATATCACTTCAGAGTGACACGTTTTACTGCCATCACTCCCCAGGTACACTGCGCTGAGAAGCATTATAGTAGGCTTCAGTGAGCCAGTCCCTGTCTCCCAATCATACACCACGCACACGGTTCATTAAATCAGAGCACAGAATAACTTTACTTGAATGCCCTGATACAAATTTTTTAGCATTCATGTGAACAAATCTATTGTCATTTCTAAGTGTTCCAGTTGAATCAGTCATTTGTGAAACAGATCTTACCAATTTTTTTAGAAAGTTCTTTCCATTTCATGAAATTTGTAGGTATTTTGGTCAGTGCCCCCCCCCCCCCAATACACACATGTATAGATATACCTGTATCTCTGCTCACCCACCATATCCTATGCCTGCTAATAAACCCTCATAGATAACTGTTTAACTGTACTTCTGCAATTCATTATACAAAGGGGAAGTAACTTTTTTGGTTGATAAGTCAGAGGTATAGAACCAGCAGTAATCTCAGAATCTTGCTTTCTAAGCGAGTAACTGGAAGTATTATCTTAATGAGCAGCTGCTTACTGAGAACACATGTTAGGTTCAGGGTTTTGTTTTTTTTTTTTTTTTTGGTTGGGTTTCTGGTATCAGATTCTTGCCACATTCTTTCAAAACATATATCCTGTTTTTGGACACTTTGGTTGTTCCCAGATTTTGACTACTGTGAATAGTGCTACAGTAAGCATAGGAGTGCAGATTTTTTTTTTCTAAGTTGAGTTTTTGAATCCTTGGGGTAGATGCCCCTATATGGAATTTCTGGGTCTTATGGAAGCTCAGTTCCTAGTTTTTTAAGATGTGCCCGTGTTGTTTTCCAAAAATGCTGGATTGGTCAATTTTCCTCTTAGCTGTGAATAAGGGTCCCTTTCCCCCCATGTGCACACCAACTCTGGTTGTTTTTGTACTTTTTAATGTGTCCCAGTCTCATTGATGTGAATTAATATCGCATTGTAGTTTTGTTTTGCATTTCCCTAATGATCGGTGGTGATGTAGAGCATTTTTTCCAGATACCTTTTGGCCATCTGTATAACTATGTTGCCTGTCACAATACTTCTTGGCTATTAAAAAAAAATAGGGGAGGCGGTACCTGAAGAGATTGTATAGTGGGTAGGGTGCTCCTTTATGGTCACCTGTGCACCGTCTAGTAATTACAGGGAGTAATTCCTGAGTGCAGAGCCAGGAGTAACCCCAGAGCACTACTACGTCTGGCCCCAAAAAGACAAAATCATGAAATTTATTGCTACATATGGATGGATCTGGGGAGTATTATGCTGAGTGAAGTTAGAGGGAAAGGACAGATACAGTATGATCTTCCACATATGTGGGAGATAAACATAACAAGGAAATCCCTAATGCCCAAAGGCAGCAGAAACTGAGAAGAGGGAGTTGGAGTGTGGGGAGGGTACACTGGGAGAGTGTGGAGGGACGTGGACACTGGGAGAAGGTGTGATACTGTAATATTTTATGCAGGAAAACCTGCCATTATTAGTATTATTAATCACGGTCCCTAAAATAAAATAAAATTAATGTTTAAAAATAATAGTAAACTTTAAAATAAAGAACTGTTGCTTAAAAAGAAAATAAGGCTACCATTAAAATGTCATGATTATTCCGTACAAAAACAAACCTCTACTTTGATTTTAATAGAGGCACCCAGGTTGCTCAGCAAACATGCTTACAGCTTTGTGAATTCTTTATATGCTATTTGACATCCCAAAATTTGGATATGTTTAGGGAACCTCTAATCGCAAGTAACAGTGACTCACAAGAATATTTCAAGTGAATCCAAGAGACAGACTACACACATCCTAATGACATTAGCATGTTTCACACTCCACAGTCTGGATGTTGTAGCAGTAAACCATGGATTATTTCCTTCTGCCATTTGCCTTGAATCCTTTTCTTTCATTATTTCCTAACTCCTTCAGTTAGATCAGTGGCTTTCAAATGTATTTGGTCTGCCTAAAAAAAAAAATTATACACACACACACACACACACACAATCCAGTGCCCCCCCATTGAAATAATACAAAGTTGCTGAAATAATACGTGTTCCGTATTGAAATAATACATGTTGAAATTATATGCATGCTGAAACAATACAAAATTGAATCTAATACTCCCACGTAAATTATTCTCTATTAAGATAGTCGTTTCTTTCCATAATCTTAATGCATGATTTTTTAATACACATGTGAGTATATAGATAGTGTGATATAAATATTTAATACTTCTTACTCTCTGCATTGCAAACCATAGTGCCCAAAAGGGGAAGAAGGGATGGAAGGAGGGAGAGGAAAAGGGAGGGAGGAAGGGAGGGAGGGAGAGAGGGAGAAGGGGGAGGTGCTGGGAGGGAAACTGGGGACACTAGTGCTAGAAAATGTACACTGTTGGGTGTTGGAACACTGTATGACTAAAGCTACTCAGGAACTGCTTTGTAAGGGTCTATCTCACAGTGATTCAATCAAAAAATCTTTGAAAAAAAATTTCCATACTCTGTTGTGTAAAGATTGTTAATGTATTTATATATTTAGATGTTTGTTTACCAAATTAGAGAAAACAGTAACTTAAAGTACATTTTATGATGCATTCTCGTTTTTTTCATGTTTGTCTTAATATATCACCTTAACGTCTATATATCTTCTCACCTTCCCCTTAAAACAATAAAACAGATACAGATACTTTTTATCATGGTCACAATATTCAGAATAGTTTCTTGGAGAAGATTTGACCAGTGTTTCTACAAAAATGTTATAGCCATAGGGAATTTCCCCCTCCCTTCTCCTCTCCCTCTTCCCTTTACGCTGAGCCTCTTTAGTTCTCTGTAATTATACTTGTAATATAAAATTATACCTGTAATACAAAAGTGGATTATGCATCTGGTTAACCCAAGGCTGAGAAATCAAGGCAAAGGTCATCTCAGAAAAGACCAAAGCTATAGGAAAGCCTTTTAGAAAGTTATCGAGGAGCAGATTGCCCTTGAGTTTTTTACCTGTAACCCATATTAGAAATGGAAATCCCTTCCTGCCATGACCACTCATATTTAAAAATGAAACAATTCAGGACCTCAGGAGATGGCTTCTAGGGTTGGAACACTTGCTTTGCATGGAGGCAGCCCAGGTTTGGCCCCCTAAACATGCTTCCCCAACCAGTGCCAGGAAACTACCCTTTAGCAGGGAACTAACCTCTGAGCATTACCAAGTGCTGCCACAAAATCAAAGTAAATAAGCTGATAAAATACAGTGCAGCTTCTTTACCCAGCTTTAGTGCTGGAATCTTTGTAAATCACGATCACGATCATCCTGTTGTTCGTTGATTGCCTCAAGCAGGCACCAGTAACGTCTCTCTTGGTCCTAGCCCTGAGATTTTAAAAGAGCCATATTCAATGCTCTTTCAGGGTTAGGAGAATGAGACCCATCATTGTTACTGGTATTTGGCATATTGGGTATGCCACGGGGAGTTTACCAGACTCTGCCGTGTGGGCAGGTTACATTCAGTGGACTGCCAAGTTGTCCAAAAGTAAGAACAAGATAATAAGATGTCTTATGTTTTCTGGGAGCTGGGTTTTATAGTCTCTGGATTTTGGCCATTGATGGGATTACCTGGCGCCGGGGCCAGTTGGTGGGTGTGACCCCTGCCTACTGGAAGATGGAGGATCTGGGTGGAGGATACTCAGACCCGATCTGAGCAAGCTTGGAGATCTCAGCCCCGGGACCCGCATGCCTGTGTTCCTCTGCCGGTTCCTTCACACGTGTGGACAGTGGTCTCAGCATGGTTGTGGCTGGTTCTGGAGGCCTTCGGCTGCCAGAGCTCTGCTCGGGGCGGGGAGGGAAACTCAACCCGCCCCCCTCCAAGGGGCCCCGGCGAGGACAGCCAAGCGCAGGGGCAGGAGACTGCGCTGTTGTCTTCTGGAAGCTGGGTTTTATAATCTCTG